CTTGCTAATTGGTCTGCTGTGGAGGCTATCTGAAGTGTTTTAGAGTAAGTAATCAAGTACTTTTTATTTCCAAGACCTTTCAGTACTTTCATGTGTCAATGCTGCAGGCATCTTGCTACGGTTATAGCTAGTGGATCTATAATTGCCCTAGAAACCTGTTTCCCTCGCTTCAAGGTCCTTAACTTTATATTATATTATATATTAACCCTTCAGTTCCTTTTATTTTATTTTGCACTGTGTATTGTGTTGGACGTGGCTGTATTGCAGTTGTTGGTCGCTCAATATCGGTGCTTTTTCTAACTATTTAACTATTAACCAATTTTATTTGTTTTTATGCCTACAACACTCTCATTTACACACACCCTCCCTCCCCAACTTACCCACTATTTTAGTGGAGACTTGGGACCATTTCATTAGGGATTCCATACCACACCTGTAATGCCACAAAGGTTGCTAGAGAAACAACTATTTTTTTGTTTTTTTCAAAGCGGTTAGGAACATAGAATATGGCAACAGACACTTTAGGCTGCTTTTAAAGTATTGGGGTTTAATTAAGACATTTTGTTGTTAATTTTCTAGGAACGTTTTCTCGTGGCCAAGGACAGATCTACATGGACCTGCAATTTTCCAACAGAGCCATGCAGGCCATGGGAGATTTCGCAGTTCAATTTAACAAAAACAGGTGATTTGGATACTGTTCTGTTTCACTAGTTGTTGTACATGGAATTCGTGTACATATAATTTATCCACTTCGCACTTTGTAGTCTAGAGCACGGGTTAACTACAAGTCCATCTCAAACTACTAGCTAGCGTAAATCGTCCCACAGTAAACCAGCAACAATATCAACAACAAAACATTATATAAAAGAAGATCATCACAGTTATAGACGCAACTTTTGCAGTTGCGAAAAGAAAGTCTGAAAAAAATTTTGGGCTTGCACGGGATTCGAACCCTTGACCTCTGCGATACCGGTGCAGCGCTCTCAATTGAGCTAACAAGCCAACCCGGAACAGGCCGTTGAATGGTTCGTTATAAACCCGTGAAAGGGTGATGATGAAATTATTAATATATTATTAATATATGAAAGTCATTTATGAGAACCTTCATTTTACTTAATTACAATTTCTTGGCTCGCAATCAGCGAAAAGGCTAGTCGGGGCGCTTAGATTAATTAAGTAGAAGATTACAACTTTTATAATAAATATTAAATAAAAAGCAAAGAGGAAAAGACAAGCAAAAAATGTGTAATTACGTCAAAAACAAGAAAGGCCTTTCGTTTTCTTTTGCTATTTTACCCATCTTTTTCTTTGCTTTGAAAATTTTGGTTACCAAAGCTTAAAAGAGATGAGATAGCGTGACCTACACGTTCAAAGGCTATGCCGATCAGAGATGGACTTGACCACACTTCAAAGTGCCATGTTCTCTATCTCCTTCTGTGTATTGTGGTTTCAATTTATGATTACTTAAGTGTCTTCCTGAACTTTGAAAAACTGTTAGGCTAACAAGTTTTCAAAAGCCACACTTTCAATCCGTTATAATTTTTTTCAAAGTTTGTCCGGCCATCCGGGCGTTCTTTTGTATCCTCTGTTATTTATCCCTTCTTCTAATGCTTTGAGCGGTTATTTTCATGTTTCACTCAATTTGGCGGCAGTTTTCAATGTTTGAATTTTGACGAATTTCGTGACACAGCCCATTTAACGCTATCTATAGTGCTATGAAAATTTTTTTGCCATGTGTAGTAACTACAGTTTTTTCGTTTCCAGTTTTGGCCTTGCTCCAGCCTCACCGTTGAACGTTCCAACTCCTTTACTCGCCAACAGTTCAGCTGAAACTTCGCTTCCTGTCAACACAAGTATGTGGTAACAAAGAACTCTTGACCCTTAAAGCCCCAATATCAACATGCATTTTGTCCACACTGACATTCATACATTTCTTATGGTACTGCTGGAGAGAATTTTTTTAAACATCAAGACATATCATCTTTGATGTTCATTTTATTAAATCTCATGGCTTGTATGTTTTACAAGGCCGTGTCACCGTTGGGAGAATTACAGAAATTGGATGCTGGTAACTTGGAGGTTGAAGGGTTAAAGATCCAACGTTAGAAAGTAATTGCTAGAGCATCGTTAACAAAAATTGTCTCAAAATGGGGTTCACAGTGCCTATAATATTTTGTTTTTTTTTTATTGTGGCAGTTATTGGTGGGTGTTACCTATCCAGGGATGATGTTCGCAAACACTAGCAGTCTTTCTCAATGTATCTACCTGTTGGTTTAAAAAAGCATGATATTTGTGGTAAAAGATGCGTGATTGCTTTAAAGACGGCGCTTCTGATTGCAAGTGCTTCCCTTCCAAAAAGCTCCGGGGTTTAGTGGAAGTTGCGGCACTTACTCAAGAGTGACTCCCCAACTAATTTTGTTGTCATAGCGCCCCTTGTTCAAACGTGAGGGCGGTATTACTGAAAACTTTTTGTCCTGTATAGGATTGTTCATTTGTAATTTCGAGCAAGGACGGAACTTGAAGCGACGTCATAACAGTTAAAAGTAGCCATTGTTTCTCTTGATCCATTGTAGCGGGAGCTGTTCAGAGAATGGACCCATTAACCAAACTTCAAGTTGCTATTAAGAATAATGTGGACGTGTTCTACTTCAGTTGTGTTGTTCCTTATAATGTGCTGTTTGCTGAAGACGGACAAATGGGTAAGCGAGCAGTCTCTTATGTTTCTTTTGAGTCATAGTAGATCGAGAGCACGCGTGAGGGGCGAGCGGTGAAGCCTCGAGGAACGAGGGCTGAATCTCTCCTTCTTTTTACCATTAATTTGCATAATTTTACCTTTCCGCCCGCGGCCGTGCGTGGCTCTGACCGATCGCGTCCTAAATTTTCTTAGTTCCATTTTAGCAAGAAAATAGTGGCTTATTGAAACTTTTTTTTCTTGTAGACCGGAAGGTCTTTTTAGCAACTTGGAAGGATATTCCTGCGGAAAATGAAGTGCAAAATCAAGTCTCTAACATCATGTTTTCCTCAGGTAAATCTTTTTCTTCTCATTGGGCAGTGAAATTTTGAAAGTAGCGAGTATTAAAAAAGTGTCATTGTTTTCGTTCTTTTTACTTTACTGTAGACGTGGCTCAGTCAAAGCTTTCAGCCAACAATGTTTTCACCATCGCTAAACGCACTGTGGAAGGCCAGGTGAGTTCAATTACATTACAGTTCTTCTTATTACCTCAATTGTTATCTTAAAGGGACACTTCCACTGTTAGAAAAGTGACCGAAATTTGGTTGAAAAACGTCATAATTCTAAGTTCACTGTAGATGATTTTAGTGGACACAGAACTGATGCGATAATCGCCTTTATAAAGTAGAGCTTCCATTTAATGACATCACGTTTATTATCCAAGCTCAACTGTTAATTTCTGGGAGATTCTGATGGCGTTCCGTTAGGAGGTTGTACCTATGGATGTGTTAACCTAAGGCATTTATGTTCTCATGTATTTCTTTCTTTTCCCAGGACATGTTGTATCAGTCATTGAAATTTACCAATGGAATATGGGTTCTAGCAGAGCTCAAGATGCAGCCTGGTAATCCTGTGGTACAAGTAAGTGACCCGGCGCTGGTCATTTCACTTTTCTGTTGTTAGAAACTGTATAAACTATAGCCCTGAAAAAATACTATAATCAGTCCAACTGGCCGTTAAAAAGCCTTTTCTGAGGAATCATTTATCTTTTCTAAGCCTTATTTAACGTCACGTGTCCTAAATTCCCTGTAGCCGAATCCGGCGCTTAATTAAAACATGAGAATCAAAGAACGTTTGCTTTATTATCGAGTATCCCCAGGGTGTACCCTGTTAAATGCCCCACAGCTGAACGCGAGTCGTTTGTTCAGTGTGAAAGAGCATACTAGGTCAGTTTAATAAAACTTTTACTTACAAGAGTAGCTATTGTTTTAGGGGGCCTGAAAACAATAGCTACACTTGTTAATTATACTTGTAAGAGTTTTATTAAGGGCTTGTTTACATGGAGGTGGGGAACCCCAGATAGGTGAGGTTACATGCGGCGGGTCACCCCACCTATCATGTAAACGTGGTCAAATTAAAATGAGAGATTTTATGGACAGGCGGCCTACCCCACCTAAGCGGGTTACCCCGCCTACCTGGGGTCCCCGTCCTCCATGTAAACAGGCCCTTAATTGATCCCGGATTTCTGTGATGACGCGTGGTTTGGAATGGTTTTTAATTGAGTGTCGTAAGTTAGTAACTACTAAAACCAATCACGGTGGATGCAAACAGTCAAGTAAACCAACCAATTAGAACACGTGTCAAATATGTGTAGACGGTGTAAAGCGTGGAAAAAACGTTCGATTTAATGAAGAGTGGTGTCATTGTATATAGCCTGTTGTGAACTGGAGGTATCGTTGAGACGAGATTAATGCGGGCGGGATTTGGAACGGTTCCTCACGTGAGCCTTGACTGATATTTAGTTCCAGTTCATTTTTGAATTCTTTATCGTCGTTTCTAACTCGTGTTTGTTGTTTCTACAGTTGTCTTTGAAGACGCGCGCTATGGACGTGGTTATGGGAGTGCAAAGCATGTACGAAACCATCCTACACAACTAAAACCCGGCGGCACCCAGTAAAGAGGTTCATTTGCTGAGAATTTCCGCACGTTTAAAAATAAATCGGCTAGAAATGTTCAAATAGAGTAAACTGAAATAAATAAATTTGGCGTCAAGAGTATCTAATTGTGTTGTGTTTTGTACCTCGCGGTGTTTGCCGAGTGGCAGGAAACGCCATCTGATGTGGATTAAAAAGGCAAACAACTGAGGGCAACGCGTCGATAGTTTCTCAATAGGCTGATTTAGCAACAGAACGGGAACGTCATTTGACCACGGCAAAGCGCGCGAAAAGGGCTAAACTCTACTCCCGGCGCCCAGGTTGCCGCTCAGCCATTGGTCAAGCCAGTTGTTTGATTTGCGCGCGCCGTCGTCAACTGACGTTTCCGTTCTGTTGCTAAATCAGCCTAATCTTTCCCCGACAGTGACCAATCCACTTTTCACCTCAGTTTACAAAGTCTTTAATTAACACCACAGTTTCTTTACAAACTAAACCCATCATACGTCGATAAAGACACTTCCTACTCAAAACAGTTACTTGTCTCCTAATTTATGTTTTGCTTCTAAGACTGATTGATTGTTCAGTCAAACTGAGCTTTAGTCCTCTTCTCATTATCGTGAGTCCTCTAACTATCCTGCAGAAAGTTATGATTGCGCACATTTCATCCGTTATTTGGCCATACTTCTCCCCGCCCGGTCGCGCGGCCGTCTTACCCTGTCGATGTTCTTTTACTATATTGACTCCGATGAGACCAAAATTGGTTACTCAGTTCTCTCTATTGACAGTAAAGACAGCTACTTAAAAAAAAAATAACCGTGCGTTCAATGCACGCATTTTGGTGGGAATCTGTGCACGCCCTTCTCCTTAAAAGAAAAAGAAAAATGACATTAAGTATTGATGGTTATGCATCCCAAACAAGCCCTATAAGATTTTGAGGACAAACTAGTAGTGGTGTAAATTAATTGTGGCGCAATTGTTTCTCAAAGACTTTTCCCACTGAGGTGTAAACATAGCCTCAGAAGCCGGCCATCAACATGTACAGAGTATACAGCAAGGTGAACATCACAATCTCCTTTGAACCACAAGAGCTTCTTCCAGCTCCTATGGGATTCGGACTCGGTGAGTATGCTGCTACCATCCCGTGAGCCCCGACCACACCCTTTACCATCCCATACAGCTCTTGCGTGGCGATGTTGATGATGGCAAGGGATTGGTTAGCAGTGGCTGGAGTCACAAGCCAGGGACCCGATGCTACCAACGGTCGACTTATGGCGTGCATACCGGGTGCTGAATATACGCTTCCAACGTTCACGATGTAGCTGATTTGGGGGTTTCCAGAGTCGACAGAGTCGAGATCTAACACAGCTATCTTGTCGCTGTAAATAAGACTGATGTAAGCGATAAAACTTCCCTTCTTTTCGACCTTCTCATAATAAACAAGGTCGCTCACCCCATCAGCGATATTTAATGTGGACTTCAAAATGGTAGCACTGTACTTGCCAGGAATAACCAGAACATGAACTTTACTAGCAATGAGAAGGTTGGCCGACTCGTTGACGGTTTTGTAAAGTGCGACGATGTAGCGGCTATCGGGTGAAACATACGGTTCCCCAGCAATGTTCCACTTCTGAAGAATTTTATCAGTGGTGAGGTCCATCTCCAACAGAGCAACCTTCTTTCTGGCTCTATAGCAATCAAAGAAGGCGTGTTTATTCACGGGGCTGTAAGCGAAGTTGAAAGTTCCGGTGCAGTTGTAGTCAGAAAGGTTAACAAAGGTCTTGTATGCCTTGGCTATGAGGTCAATTTGGTGCAGGCCTGGGTTGGACATGTGAGTGACATAGCCAATTTTGCCGTCTTTCACCTCTGCGTCAGCGAACATGTACCCGAGTGACCAACCTAAGAACGTGTGCCGTTCGACGAAAGCTTTGTCAGTGTATAGCACAGGTAAAACAAAAGCACTGAGGGATTTCTAAGAAACGCTAAGAAACTGAAGCTAACATAACAAAGCCGGTCTCCGGCAGCTAACGGAAAAATGCTGCCAGTTTCGCGCGCAGGAAAACGTACATCTTGGGTCTTGCTTTCGTTTTCTTTAATTTCTCGATATTAATGCGCAATGTTTAGGTAAATGATCTAATTGTGGCTATTTCGAGAACTAAAATACACAACCTTCAATTGACAAAAGAAACTCATTACCCTAAGCCCGCGTTTTGTAAAGGCGGAGTTCAAAATTTCATTTCAGTTTCATAAAATTAACAAGATGAACTTACAACGGTTGCCATGCTTTGGGAGGCTAAATTCGATGCATTCGTCAGGTGCAATCCACCGAGAAAACTGAATTGAATTTTATAATAAGTTACAATAAGCTTAGATTGCGTTTCTCATTGGTTAGACAAAAAATAACGCCAGTTCTCTGTACCTACCTGGTTGCACATGTGCCTTGAGAGCCTTGTGCGTCTTACGCAGGCTTCCGTCAGTGTTAATGACGTCAAAAGTAGAGTTGGTCAAGGTGTGTACCCAGACCTCCTTCAGCCAATGTAGGTAGTACAGATCATGAGGGTAACCCCCTGTTTGGATTGTTTCCACGACCTTTGGAGTAAATGTTTAAATTATAAGGTCATTTTACAGTTGTGTGTTCAGTGTCCTAGCCTGCGAACAAGCTCTCCGGGGCGCTCTGGCGGCCACTAGAGCTCCCCGGAGAACTTGCTCGCAGGCTAAGTGTCGTGGTGTGTTTTTTCTCATCGTTTTTTAACGATCCTGGGGAGTTTTTGTGCAAAGCGGGCCAACGAACTTCTTGATCTTGAAAGTTCTTTATAAATGTTTCCAGTTGAAATTTATTAAAAATTTGACAACGCAATCTAACATTGTCACTGTGAGGACTGCCAATCACCAGTTTGATGCGGTTTATTTATTTATTTATTTTGACTTATTTAAATTCATTGATTGTATCCCAGATTAGACAGATTATCTTGCAGGGTTGTTACGTTCACTTCTATGCTTTTTCAAAAAACTTTGTCGAAAGAGCTCAGTAGAGTACTCGGTTTATATGTATTTTACCATAAATAGATGCAGACTACGTCCACACTTATATGGCAACCTGTGTAAACACGGTCAATGTTGTGGTCCACACAAGTTAGTCGGGTAATCGTTTAAGGATCGTTACGCGACTGTCCACACGGACTGCAACAAAGGCACGGTTAACTCACAGATTTCTTCTTCCTGAGTATGTTTTGTGACGGATAACGCCAGCAAACGGCAATGAATTCATGAAGTGCTAAGACATACCGTTAGGCTATACGAATCTATATGGAACCAACTTCCTTAAAGTCCTTCGTTTCACACTTCCGGTTCCGGTAGTTGGCCCCAGCTTTCGCTCTCTCGCTCGCTTTTGCCGCAGAAACACAAAAAATCTACCGCTAGCGCTTCGCGCCCGTGAAAAAATTTGAGCTCGACTTGTAAGCAAGTCTATATGGAACCTTACGGTTTTCTTCACAAGAAAACGTCAGTGGAGAGTTGTCTGTTTTATATGAACTCATGTACTTTGCAGACCTCTTGTAGAGCTACACACTTCTTTGTTACTTTTCGTTTCCTGTTTTTCTTCTATCCAATTTTTCAGCTCACATTCCTCAGTTTGGAACCAGAAAACAACATCTTTTTCCCACAACGTCGCGGTGAATAACCTTTAGTAAAGTATAATAGGCTTTTGTTTGAATGAAGTAGGAGCGAGTAGAGAAGACGTAAGGAACTCGGCATACTCTATCTCAGCTTGCTGATACATTGTCAGCTGACATTGTGGCCCGGGTTCAAATCTCGGCGTCGGCGTCGATGTGGTTGATGTGGGTTGAGTTTGTTGTTGGTTCTCTCCCTTGCTAAGAGAGGTTTTTCTCCGGGTACTCAATAACCAACACCTCCGAATTCTAATTCGATCTGCAACGCACGGACACCTTTCAACGAGTGTCAAGAACTACTAAGTTCGTGGGCAAACAAACATTACAGTCGACTCCCGATAACTCGAACCTTCAAGGAAAATCG